TACCACGCCATGGACGATTGGATAGACGATAGGCCTTAAAGACTTGTGGCTGTGCTTGGTATCTGCATTTTTTCGAGGTTGCTCGCGTTGAAATGCGCTAAAGCTCTAAAGAGTCCAAGGTCACTTGGCACGTCGGTGGTGTTACGATAAGCGGTTTCTTGTTTCTTGTCGAAAATCCGCCTCTATCCGATCCGAAGCTATCAACAAGCGGGCGCCCATATCGCCATCACGAATAGTTACTGATAAGCAGGCACCTAACATATCGCCAGCACCAATAGTAACCGACAAGCAGGCGCCCAACATATCGCCAGCACCAATAGCTATCGATATGTGCGAGTCGAACTTATCGCTTTGTCAATCGATGTCGAACCCCAACCCGATATATCGAGGGCGGCAATGCCTATCGATGTGGACGTTGTTTTATGATTGACCTCTGCGACAGGCATCGATAAATTTGGCCGCATCTTACTGGTCATAATGATGCCCATCGATGTGTTCGCGTGAAACCTATCGTCCAGAACGAAACAAGCCGATCACTTAGCTCCCAGCCCATCTAGAGTCGACAACAGGCATCGATGCGCGCTTCCAAAATCTTATCGCGCCCACCAATCTCCATCGATATGACTTGAATAAAAGGAGCATATTCCGTGATAATTATCGATGTGTAGATCTCTCATCTTATCTAGGACTAAAATTCATATCGATTTGCTGATGGTTCAGCTATCGGTGGGGCGATAAGGCCTATCGTCTATCCAATCGTCCATGGCGTGCAACCAATGCTGGGTACCAGGAGTGGACGTTGAGGTCCTGCAACCATTCGGGTTTTCAGGCGTAACAGTTGTTCTGCTTGCGCGAGAAATCTAACAATTAGCCCCTTGCGAAGGTGTACCGATTCAGGTAAAAAAAGTCAATCGACGGATACCCTGCGAATCGGGTCCTCCTTGACACCCTCCACCCACAGAATGTTCCCTCAACTGGGAACCTCTTGTGGCCAGGATAGGTAATTCGATGGAAGTGTCACAAAGTTCTNACTGACACACATTGTGTCCGTGGGAAAATGTCCAAGTCAAGAGAAAAAGTGTGCACCCAAGGAGATTCGAACCAGTATTCTGCCGCTGACGCCATATGCGAAGGTGTACCGATTCAGGCAAAAGTCAATCAACGGATACCCTGCGAATCGGGTCCTCCTTAATCGGTACACCTTAGAATTGTCTAACCTACCCCTTCAGATTAAAATTGGGTAGTACGCGCGTATCACAACTGGAGTAATGAGGGTGACTACCTGAGAGAATCTAAATTACGGTGACGAAACTCAAAAACCCAAACAAATTTCCAAACGAATACGGCCTTTGATACTGGACGCGACGCAAAGGGAAAACTCAACGCAATCTAGGACGTTAACGAAGGGCAGGAGAAAAGAACGACAGGCAAAGGCAATTAGAACGATGGCCAGCGTGCCAGGGTACCCAACTCGTATTAAGGAGACGGCAGGGGCAGGGGCAGGACCTATTGAGGACCAAGGATGCAAAGCACAAGCGATTAATGCAAGAGAGGCGGTCGACGAACTGCGCCATGCCTCGCTGGCGATACGCATCACTCAAAGACATCAAAACACAGAGCGTCGTAGAGAGTCACACAACAAGACGACGAGTCAGGGGCGCTACTGTGATGAGGGCGTCGCCCGAAGGTGGCGATGATGGAGACGAAGCAGAACGAAGTGTGGGTCACGACGAAAGTACACGAGAGAATGCGACGCAACGGGATGTAATCCCGAAGCACCAAGCGTATGCGACACTTCTGCGGCACGATGGAGCTAGAACAAAAAAATTAAAGACAAACATTAGTTGGCAAACAGGCGAACCAGGAGAACGGGGGGAACTCGGTGTCCAAGTGTCCCGAGGCAAACAACACCGACGAAACTTGGGGACCTCTTTTTCCAAGTGTTCAGAGGCAAACAGCACCGACGAAACTTGGGGAACTCCTTTTGCAAGTGTTCAGAGGCAAACAACACCGACGAAACTTGGGGAACTCTTTTTCTAAGTGTTCAGAGACAAACAACACCGAGGCGATTTCGGAGGGAGCCTGTCGAGAGAACCAAGACCAACGACAAAAAAAATAAGCAAAGGCGAGAGAGAACGGACATCCAGGTCGCGGCAGTTCACTAATTCAGACGAATGTAGGCAACAAGGAAGAAGGATCACTCGACACTGCGTGTCTTGAGGCGGCGTTGCCCCAGCGTCCAAAGCAAAAATAAGCCAACAAAAGAAAATAGACGGGACAGAAAAAAATATAACAAAACCAAACGGAAGGTGATAGAAATAACAAAATCAAAGCGTCGGCGAGAAGGATGGCACAAAAGACCAAATAGGCCGACTGGTACATGAAAACGACGACGCTAAGAATAAATGGTGGGAACAGCCGACGGTGAGGAGTCAGCAAGGAGCGGAGTGCGACCACGGTTGTCGCCCAGAGGGCGCGAACGATGTTTCTCCGAACACCATGATCCACAGACGGCGCCCAAGGCGGTGGAGTAGAGGTGCGCAGGCAGAGGGAGAACGCTTGGGCCCGGGTCATCCAAGAATCGAACGATGTTCGCGCCGTCCTGATGAGCACCAATACGTCCGGTCCACCACAATCCATCAAGAGCCTTGTACCATAGCCGCGCGCCAACAGGGAGGGGCGAAGCGCTGAAACGACGAAGCCAAGTCGCGTTAAGCACAAGATCAGCCCCAGGAGGCAAATAGCGTTCTCCACGATTCCGGGCTAGATCCCGCTGTGCCGCGCGAGTCCGAGCCACTCGATATGTACGGTTACCCTGCTTGCTTTGGCAGACCTCCCGGGACCAGTACAAGAGGGTGTGTCGACGGAATTTATCGAGGTCGCATTCCCATTCCCATGAAGGAGTAATCAGGCCTAACCAATGCGTCTGGTACAGGACAGCGAGAACGCCGCTACGGCCCCGCACCAGTTGATATCCCGAGATGTAGTCGACCTCGAGGCGCCCGACAGGCACCGACACATCATCCGCGGTGACGTTAAACGGTGGACATTTATCTCCGAAAGAGTGCAGAACATAACGCGAAAGCTCGGCGGGTAGAGATTGCAGCAAGTCGTTCGTCTCGTACGGATTGCGACAGGGCTTGCAATGGAGGACAGACACGCGACAACGAGCCGCTGGGTCGGAAAGATCGGAAGGCAGGTCCAGGTAGAGGAGTTTACGCGCCAACGGGCGGCCGTCCGGAGTGGCGTCGGCAGAGGCGGGGCCCACCGCAAAAACTTTGTAGGGCCCCGTCCAGGAAGGTGCGAATTTGGCCTTGAGCACCTGTTGGTCCGTGCCCTTCTGCACACCTTGTCGAATCGTAGCAGCCGTGCTGTACACCCAAGCCCACCCGCCAACGGTAAAGTGAGGGAGCTTGTGAATGGCGTCCAGCAGGGATGAAATGCGACGTTCGACTGGCAAAATGTTCAGGGCGTTGTACTCACGGACAAGTTCGTAGGCCCAGCGCTGGCGATGGACAGCCAGGTTGCAATACTCGAGTTGATCGCGGGCCACGCTTTGATCACCACCTACCGTGGGATGATCGAAGACCGAAAGCAGAAGTCGCGGGATGCGTCCGATGTGGATCTCGTTTCTCGGCAATCCAGTAGACTGGTTAACGGAATCGTTGTAGGCAAACTCAATGTGCGGGAGATGTACGTCCCAATCGTTTTGCTGTTCATTGCCGACCACCGCAAGCATCTGGGCCATCGTGTGGTTGACGCGTTCCGTGCCGCCGTTGGTCTATGGGTGGTAGGAGCTGGTGGTGACCTTCTTGATCTTCATCACCTAGCAGATCGCCACGGTGAGCTTCGAGCAGAAATGCAGTTCGCTGTCCGACAATAACGTAGTCGGACATCCCCACTTGGTCATGTACTGGTTGACGAAGATGTGAGCCGTTCCTTTCGCCGTAAATTCCGCCGCTGTAACTGCGAACATGTCGGCTTTCCGACTGAAACGGTCTGTGAACAACAAATGTAGAAGTTTCCCTTGGCAGTCACTGGCAGAGGTCCGAAGAAGTCGACGCCGACGACTGTACCAGGCCCCTGGGGCAAGGGCATGGCGATGACGGGCCACCGAGCAGTCTGACGTGAAGTCTTGCGTCCGAAGTAAGCGGGACCGTTGACGGTGCCTCCGGTAGCAGCGGTAGTCTTGGTCCGAGTCCGTGGAGAAATGAGCGGTCCCCGCTCCGGACGCGAAGACAAAACGTGCCCATATGTAGTCACCAAAGACGCGACAGGAGACATCATGCGGGACGCAGCAGGAGTCAAAGGGGAAACAGGCCCTGAAGATCCGGGAACAGGCGAAACGATGAAGACCCCCGGAGACCGCCGAGAATCCTCGCAGGCAATCGTTGAGTCCGTCAGAGCATCCAACCGACGCGGGTGATGTCGGCGAAAATCCCCAAAATTGGAGGGCTGGAGCGCTGGGGGCGAAAAGACTCCCGCCGGGCAAGGAGGGCGGAACCCACCCAAACCTACCTCCGGCGTAGACGACGAGTGATAGCTGCGCCCGCAAGCCCGAATGAAGAAAACACCCGCTTGATCGACACCATCAATGCAGTTGGGGCCGGTTTTGTCCGTGTCTTGTGCTGGTAAAGGCAGAAGAAAATCCGCGTTGCCGTTTGCCGAACCTTTCCGATATTGTAGGGTGAAGGTGAAGTTGGATAGAGTTTCGAGCCATCGTTGCACCCTAGCGTTGCGTTCCCCAACCTTGCCAATGCTCTCCAAGGCTTTGTGGTCCTAATAGATGATGAACTTGGTCGACCACAGATAATCGCGAAGGCGTTTGATGGTCCAAACAATGCCACCAGCCTCCAGATCCGGAACGGTCCAGCTACGCTCCGCAGGGAGAGTAGCGCGGCTGATGTACACAACGGGTCTCACCGAACCAAGGAGGCGCCAAAACCGTCGATACGCGCGTCGGAACAATAACGGAGAGGACGGCTGTCGTCCTCGACCGCTGCACAATCCGGGAAGATCAAAATCGGGGGACGAGCGAGTTCGCTTAACAGCGTTTTGACAACCTTGACCATGCCCGGGGTGTACTTGAAGGGAACGCCTTGTTTAAGAAGAGAGTTGAGAGGCCGCACCTTGGTGGCGGGAATCTTGAGGAATTTCCGGCAGTAACTGAGTCCACCGAGAAGGCTCCGAAGCTGCTTAACATTCGGCGGCGGCGGCATGTGCGTGAGCGCCCTAACCTTGACGCCATCAGGGCTAACACCGGTCGGAGAGATGGTGTGACCGAGGAAGTTGGCGTGTGTGGCGCCGACGCGAGCCTTCCCCGGAGACAGTTTGAGGTTATACTGTCGCAGCCGTTGGAGCAGCCCTATCATGTTGAGCACGTGTCCCAGAGGTTCTTCATCGAAACAGATGACATCGTCCAGAAAAGCAAGCACACGCTCCAGAGCGTGCATCACTCTGTTGATGACCTTGACGAACCAAGACGGACTTGCGTTGGCTCCCTGCGGCATTGGAAGCCATTCGAACAACCGCGTGGGAGTGCAAAAAGCGGTTAGCGGGACAGTGTCTTCATCGCAAACGATCTGGTGGAAAGCCGAGTTGAGGTCGAAGATGGAGAACACTTTCCCGGTGTACAGAGAATCCAAGATACCGTCCACCCGAGGGAGAGGTTGTCCATCCAAATCCACCAGGGCGTTGAGACGCTTATAGTTGACGGTGATGCGAACCGATCCGTCCTTCTTGGGGATGACGATCAAAGGAGAAGCCCACAGAGACGTGGAATGCTGAATGAGCCCTGCCGCCAAATACTGGTCCAAAATGGTGTCCACTTTCTTTTGCATCAACGGGTTGATACGATACGGACGTGATGCAACGGGCTTCGTCCCTGCGGGGACAGAAAGAGTGAACGGCATGATGGTGCAGGAACCAAAATCGGTTTTCGAAGTAGAGAACACGTCAGAATACTCAACAAGAGCGTCGGCCAAACGATCAATAGCCTCCGGTGTCCATCCCGGACTGTGTAGATCGAAAGCGATGTCGTGCATATGTGCGGGCAGCCTAGCCCACAAGCGCATGAAGCTGGAGCGCTGTGCCTCAGAGAAGCGGTCGAGTAGTTCTTGTGGAGGCGGCTTCGGAGGAGGCGGGGCGGAGGCTGGGTCCGGAGAGCGGTGAGTCCCGGACTTGGGGCCAACGGCGTTGACCCGAGGTGGTGATGTAGATGTTGTGGGGCCGGTAGGAATCGAAGATGGTGCCGCCTTCAGGGTTTCCACCGGTACTCGTAGTAGCGGCGCGGCAGACACTCCAATTACGTCTCCCGGCTCCAGCTCGGCACAACCTGCAAGGGGAATACGCTGGAGACCATTGGAAACGAACGCATCTGGGGACGAAAGCGCACCCACTTCGGGTTTGAACGATACCAGATACTCTCCAATCAGCGCAGGCATGCCAGAAGAACGAACGAGGTTCACCTCAACGAGTGCAGGCTCCGGCCCCAAAGAAATTCCCGAGCTCCCTGCATATTTACGGTGAAACGAGGAGGGAGGAGCGTCGTCGTGTGTAGCGTAAACGCAAGCGCCAGCTGTAAAACGCGGAGAGAGCGTGAGCTCGCCCATAACCCGGCCGTCCGGTTCAGGGTGGGGGAGGGTGGTGAACACGCGAGAGTTGAAGCGCATCCAGCTATCACGACCCAGAAGCACGGCGTGCCCCATGGCGGCGTCTGGAACAACACAGGCCCAGACCGCCAAGGAAGCGGTAGCTCTATCTCCATGAAGAAAACTAACGGTGAGACGAATTGACCGGGTGGTCATAAGGGCGGGTCCATCACCAAACCCACCCCAACGACGAGAGGGCGAAACACGAACACTGCCAGAGGTCAAAGCTCCAGCAGCTATCATGGCGATGACCACGCAGTCGGACACGAAGGACGCAGGAGACCCAGAGTCCAGAAGCGCCACTCGCTCGAGTTGAGAAGTGGCTGTCGGTCCTCCATGTAGCAGAACCCGGGTGGTGTATGAGTCCGAGTCCAACACTAGCGTGTCGCCTACCAGATCGGGCCCATGTTCCAGAAGGGGAGGTTGGTTTGCACAAGCGGAGGTCGATGCCACCAGATGAACGCCAGGAGCATGATCCCCCGGAGCGTCCAAACAGAGACAAGCTGGGTCTTCGCCCCGGTCCTCCCGCGACGACGAATCTGCTGCAGTAGCAACCTCGTGGATGCGTCGATGTCCATGGAGAGGAGGCTGCGAAATGGGGGGCGTGGGAGAAGTGGAAGCGGAGAGATCTTCGCCAGACAGGGGATGATCACGCAAAAGGCGTCGAACGTTCATCAAAGCTTTTCCCAAAAATTTTTTACCGCTAGCGGTCCACTTGGATGAAACGCTAGCCTCTGGAAAGCATGCAGACATGCCGATACCCCAAACACGATCCAAGAGGCTGGCTTCCGCAAGGAGGTGGGTACCCGTCTCCAGTAAATGATGTTTCATGTCATGGTTTTGAGCAAACGTAGCGTACGACCCCGTAAGCACGATCTTTTCTCGACGGCGCTCCCATTCAGCATAGTCGAAAGGACGCACGTTACGACCCAAAAACTTNCGTCGAACGTTCATCAAAGCTTTTCCCAAAAATTTTTTACCGCTAGCGGTCCACTTGGATGAAACGCTAGCCTCTGGAAAGCATGCAGACATGCCGATACCCCAAACACGATCCAAGAGGCTGGCTTCCGCAAGGAGGTGGGTACCCGTCTCCAGTAAATGATGTTTCATGTCATGGTTTTGAGCAAACGTAGCGTACGACCCCGTAAGCACGATCTTTTCTCGACGGCGCTCCCATTCAGCATAGTCGAAAGGACGCACGTTACGACCCAAAAACTTGCGTGTCTTAGGATCACTTTTAGCCATAATTTGTCATACGACGTCGTATCTCCAAACATCGTCACATTTTCAGATATCATAAATTGCTCACCACATGAATAACGTACCCCCAGTACGTCAAAAGCCGAAGGAGTCCATTGCTGTGTCTGTCATCAAACGGCGGAGCCGGTGCAGGGCGAAGGGGCAAAGAGCGGGCACCAGGCACAGGCGGGGGTGGACCAAGCGGACGGGTCCTCATCTCCGACGGAGAGGACCCAGAAAGCGAGGCAGGAGCGGGCAAAGTGCCGTGATCCGGAGGGCGGCCAAAGGGCGGCGGCTCCGGCGTGGTCAATGTTAGCAGAGGCCATTCGGCTATTAGACACCTGTTCGTTAGAAGTAGTCATTCCTGCAGCAGACGGATGTTTATTAATTGACGCAGGGCACTCTTGACTACTCCCCCTTGACAAAGGAGCCGAACCTTCCACAGAATGGTGGGCACTACCATCCGATCCCGATGGCAGTGGTGCAGTCAGCACGTGGTGGGCAGCAGAGGAAGACGCATTTGTATCAGGTGCTGTCACACGGGGGCAGCGGACGGTCGAAGACAACGAAAGCTGCGAAAGAGAAGAAGGATCGACGGGGTTCCCGACGAGTGTAGAAGAAGGCTCGTGTGCTGTCCGAGAAGAGTCCCGGCTGACAACACCAGGAGAATCTTGACGAACAGCACAAGCCGAGGTTCTTGTTCCTTCTGTAACCCGAGATGACGAGGTGAGCAGGGATGGACCGCTCGACATCTTACCTCCCTGTCGCCCACACCACAAAGGTACTGCCGAAGTGGGTTTGTCACGTCCAATACCAGCAGACGATGAGGCGAACGACGAGGAGCCGGGCCGAGAAATTCGATGTGATTGAGGAGCGTGGGAAGTATCCAAAGAAGTGGGCTGTACACAAACAACTTGGGAGACTCCAAAAGGGTGCACGGCGGTTGCTGTTGACGGTAGTACCGGCTGAACTCCGCCATCGGCTTGTCATTTCTTATTCCTCCAGCCCCTTTTAGCCGAAGTGGAAGCCTCCGACGAGAGTTGTGTGTGAGGAATGTTTCGTGTCCGATGTGTCAGATGAGCGGCGGGCGCGTCGTGAGGAGTGATTTCGGTGTGGTTTGCGTCCTGCGGGGCGTCTATACGAGGTCATGCGCTTTTTCCACCGACCCCAAAGTGTGGAATCTTTTTCCATGCAGAACTTGATATCATTGTTGAGCAAGCCGGTGGCGTTCACGAAACCACGATTACAGGATTTGAAGGAGTGGTCTTCTCATAAGCAGTTCAGGCACTTGCCCTTGTACAATCGAAGCGCGTTGCGGCGTTCTTCAGCTGAGACCAAGGGGGTGAACAATGGCGGATCATTCTTAGTTAGAGCCATCTCACTACCGACGTTGTTCACCTCTTGGAAGTGTCCTTGCAACGGCCAGTCACTGCAGCGCAACAGAAAGGGTCCCTATCATCGTTAGGTAGAGGGTCGACACTCATCGGCGGCCGAAGAGCCCTGGCTCCACGAAGGGGTCACCGAGCAACGCCGAAGAAGCTACAGCACGCGAAACAGCAGACGAACTCCTAGCATTCGTGGAAGATAACAAAAAGATTTCATCTCCATGGACCGCCGGCGTGTGCGCGAACGCACGCTTGTCCAACACATCTCACGTATCATCCAGACACGAAGCATGTCGCCCAAAAGGGGCTTCCATGAAGAGCTGCTCATCCTTGTACACCTGCCCAGACACTACCAGAAACTGCTTCAACGTGGAGTCTCGAACAGCTATCTGCACTTGCGCATCCGAAGGCTTGAAGTCGTGGTGAGAAACCATGACGGTCATGGCCAGAGCCTTACAGCGACTAATGTATTCTCCGTAAGTCTCGCCGTTGGACACGTCTAAACTGTGAAGACAATCAATCCCCGAGCTCTTGTCTTGAGTGTCCCAGGCAGCCGCCAACTTCTGGATGAAAAAGTGTACGTCGAGGGCCCTGCCGGTTTCTTGCGCAGATGGTTTTCTACTTGTAGGAAGGTGGCATCAAGAAATTCCAGCGTGGCACGGTTGGTGGTTTGGCCTACAACGACAGCAGCACGGACACGTTTGCGCAACAACGGAAGCCCTCCGGTGACCCAGGTGGAGGAATTGAAAGTCTGCTTGCGCTTGACGTCGCTTTTGTTGAGGATCTCTGTGACCACACCCTTGCAGCTAGTCGCGAAACGAGCAAATTCATCAGGATCAGGACACTATCAAGTTGTTCCGGCTTCAGCTTATCCATGTTGTCTTGGGTGCGGATGGTGTCGGCCTCCGCTGCAGCGGCGTCTGCAGCGTCCAGAGCCTCCTGCCTCACTCTTGCTCCCGTGGAAGACAAAGGCAAGCCGGCATCGTCCTGAGTCAACGGCGACGTCGCTTGACCCAGTGGCTCGACGATGTGGCCGGTCGCAGAGCTAGGATCAATCTGAACAGATGCACGCTGGAGGGGGAGGGGCGGTACCACCAAAGGCTGTTGCGACAGGGCTGGGGCTGCCGACGCGGACGGTACCACCGTAGATCCAACAGGTACAGCCGCCGACATCGTGGCTGATGACGATGACCCTGACGTGGCCCTTACAGCGGTTTCGGNTATGTATTTTCTGGTGCTTTCACTTCCAGAGGCAGCTGTAAGCACTGTGCAACTGCCTCGGGGGTACTTGACCATTTTGACACAACGTGGTGCGATCATCCCCCTTGCGCGGAGCGG